TAGCAAACAGTCTGCGGAACAAGTTGGTTAACTTCTCTTTAAACCTGAAATTCATTTTCATCGCTTAAATTCAGCAATGAAATGGGCACAAACTCGAGGTGACGTGGTTTATTCAAGGGCTAGTTCCATTTTTATTTATTTATTTTTTTGTGCAGTGCAGTTTTATTAAGCGCCCAAATCCGGCCAACACTGGAGCCGGGCTGATTGCCTGATTTAGATAATCCTTCTTAGTCAAAACATGGTTGGCGTGTTGAAAAACTAAATAAACCATTAACCTACTCATTAACATAAAATAGATGGAGCAACTAAATCCTTATACAGTCACTTGCTGTGAAAAACATTTTTTTTTTTTTTTTAAAAACGGTCGAACAAGTATGTTCTTCAGACAGTATGGAGTTGGTATGGTTTCACAAAGAGAGCCTGCTGTGATCTTCAATCTGTTTTTTCTTACTGCAGAGAAACTTTTTCTGAGAGAAGCCTCTCTCACAGGCAGGTTTGTAGCTCCACCACAGAATATACAGTACATATGTCAGCACTTCAGACAACCACGCTTTGGATAACTGCACTATTGCTTTCAAAACCCAGGAGAGTTTTACAGCATATATTGGACTGCGACATGTCAGATTAAACCATCATCTGGTTGGTGTGGCGTTTAAGACCCCTCTACCCAACACACATCTGTGAGTTGAAGGAGACAAGAATGTGGTCTTTAATCTCTTAGTGCTGAACACCTGATGTGTTTAAATGAGTTGTTGTGCTCATGCATTCAGCACAGAGGAAATTAAATTAGTTACAATAATTCAATTTCAATGACTTTCAAGGTTAACAGAGAGGGACATTATTCCTGGTGCAGGGAGTTAATTCACTTAAAGTAGACAGGGTTTTCAAGAACCCGGTCACTTGGTGGACTTCAGAAAAATAGTGTCTGAAGTGAAAGTCAAGAAATGTGACATGGATATTAAGAAGTAAGAAACAATTCTGAGTACAGTCATTCACTGCTAGTTCAACTTAGGGAAACAGACTTAACAAACAGTACGTAATAGTGTATGTATTAAACAGGGTCCTGTTTTACGTAGCCTTGGTATACAGCTGTTTGTGGTGACGTCGCAATCTCCCTTAAATTTATTAAGAAAGTCTCGTTCCATCATTCTGATGTGAGGCATTTAAACAAATTTCCCACAGGAACTGTTTTGTGAGTGGAGACAAATATGTCCCCATGCGACCCTATACACGGAAAACAGCTTTGGTGACATTTGCGTGTTGTACGCCACACATTAAATTGTCCTACATTCACTTTATACACGGAAAACAGCTTTGGTGACATTCGCGTGTTTTACGCCACACATTGAATTGTCCTACATTCACTTTCTTCATGTTTTGCTCTTCATTATGCATTAGGTACTGATGTGCAGTATGTGAGTTTAGACTTAGACTGAAAAAAGAGTTATTTTGTGGCATAGAAACAGACTTGTACAAACTAATTTCGTATCACCTAGTTTAGACTTAGACTGAAAAAAGAGTTGTTTTGTGGCATAGAAACAGACTTCTGACATCCCTGTATTTAATAAAATGAAACATTTTTTTCCAAATTGAACTTCTAAGTGTTATGGATAAAATTAATTCCGGTTTCTATGATCCATGAAAACCATAAAATTAACTTGTTACACTAGCAGGAGAAATTCTTTTCCCGCTCACTCCCTTTAAGTACATATAAATCAGACCCACAAAGCAACAGAAACTTTTACTTTTTTTGGTAAATACTTTTTTTTCCTGCTTACTTACCCATGGTGCAGTTGGTGGTAAAGTAGGGCTCAATCGTCGCGGTGTCCTCTTGTGGGATCCGCTGGTCATAACTGGCAGAAACTCGAAATGGCGATCCTCCATGTGTGCCCAGAGTGAGGTGGACAACTGCCCAGCTGCCAAGGAGAAAAAGAAGGAGCAGAGTCAGGGCAAGGGGCAGGCACCAGGACTGACAGAAAAACCCACATGTGCCACAGGTGTCGGGAGTTACAGTAGCACAGGCCAGGGCTGACTGAGCACCAAAGGCTTCAGAGGAGGGATTGACCAGGGCTTTAGCAGAAGCTGTCACTTCTGCTTCTCCGTTCTCTTCTTTTTTGGGGGGAGTTTGTCTGATATTTGTCTGGCGATGCATCATTAACCCCTGGAGCACACAAGGGCTCTCCTGGAGTTCTGGAGGTGTCGAAGGTGTGGTAAAATATCTTAGCTGAATTCTGGTGTGATGTTAAGCTGCAGTCCTGTTGTGAATGCTGTCCTCTCCCACCCGGCAGCTGGTTTTTCTGTGGTTCAACTTCTAACTGTATTAGGCAAATTACATGGATTTCTCTTCAGCTCTCTCTCGTTCTCTCTTTCTTTTCCCTCCTCCCCTTGTCTTTCCGTCTTTTCACTCTCTATATTGTAAACTACAGTTCGAGTCCAATTTTAAATACTTGTATTATACAAACTTTATACCTATTTTTTATTTTTTTATTTCCTTACTTATGTAGCTTACCTTGCGATGAATTGGCAACAACAGCACCAGAGTAGCTGCAGGAGTAAATGGTCATGCAACAAACTGAAATATAACTTTATTTATGACTTTAAGTCCATGATATCAAACTACGGCTGTACCAAAATATTACATTTATAGGTTTTATACACAATGTCTTTGTGAGTGTTTTTGTGTCGCCTAGCCTTTCCTCCATCTTTTACTTGTTTTCACCCTTTAAAGGAAACCGTCACCCATGCTTCATCCCACTCTTTCTGCCTCCAATCAGGTTTTTATACAAAATGATGAAAGGGTTCGTACCAAATGGGACATTATGTAAAAGTGCCACAGCACATACTCAGAGAACAGCTTTGCAATGTGGGACCCGCTCTTTGCCATATCTTATAATAGAAAAGAAATGAAGACCTAGATAAGGGCTGCCACTGTCTCCTTGATAACCTTGAAATGAATTGACAACCAAGCATTATATAGATATGGTGTAGCTGAAGAGCCACTAACTCGGTTGAAAGGCATTCTGATGAAAAATGATTTATCAAACCACAGCAGTGTGTCTTCAGCATGCAAAGGATGGATATGGATGAGTGTTTACGAAGACACACAAACTAACACTGCAGGGTAAATAACATGTCAGTGTGGGATATTTTTACAGCATTGCATATGCTTAGTGAACATATGAATGTACTTGGGATCCTGTTTTCAAAATAATGTAATTGTTTAAAACCTGATCACTGGCTCATCACGACGTGAAATCTCTCAGTCTAGTAAATTATTTGATGTCCTTCCACGTTTTATCTGCAGTAGCCCTCGCCTCACTGATTAACAGAGCAATGGATCAAATCAGAACTGCTGGAGAACGTCGCTCAAATGGTCAAACATAGTTAGCAAATTTACATTCAGGACACAGGCATAAAAATAGAAGACAAACAGCAAAAATTAGTAATATAACTCCAGAATCTTAATGGACACGACTTATCTGAGTGCAGTTAGAGGACTGTACTAAACAGAGGAAAAGTACTGGACTTTTTCTGACTTCTGCTTGGTGAAGGCTTCCCTAATGATTGAACATATTTTCCCCACAACAGAGACAATTAAACAGCTCATGCCAATAAATCTGGGATGTCAATTTAAAAAATGCTCATCCAATAATGCTCTGCCTTTCTGCTCCCTGAATCATTCATTATCTGTGCTGTAGCTCTTTTTGGCTTTAATTTGCTGTACGTGTGGCGTAGGGAGGATGTAGGAAACCACATTAAGGTTAGTTTGTTATCCACTTTCTGCTTTGCATTACCTGTGTGTCTCATGCATCAAACAACACAATTACAAGAACATGGGCAACGGTCCATGAGCTGTTGTGTTTCATACTGGTACATTACCTTAATGCAGCGTGACTTGGCTGGACACACTGTAATAGTTAGTCTAGAGCCAGGATAGGTTCCGATTTTAGACTGAACTGTTAATTTGTTTCTTATTTGCATCCTCACAACCGCTTTTAAAACTGTTTCAGGTACTGCTTTGACTAACAGTCCTATCACTATTGTATCACTGGCCCTGGAATTTGAATTTTTACTGTCTTAATTAAATCTCTGCTCTATTTTCATTTAACTGAACTAATAAAGAAAACAGTATTATTTAAATTATTTAACGATTATTTAAGTTAATGCTACATTTTAAATTGAATTCAGGTTGAATTAATTCGGTATTTTAGTATTTAAGTATGTGAGCAGTACAAAACAACATTTTGTTCCACTATGTGCCATGTTACACACCATCTGCTTTGCAGATTTAGTGATTGCCATTACAACTACAAATAATTTAAACTGAATATTTTTCGTTTGGGATTTGAGAATATCTTAGATTGGACACATGTGAGCATAGACGGCATAGCAACACAGTCCAGAGTCTGGGGGTCGCTGCTTAGAAGAGTCGATGATCTCTAATTTGTAGTGTGTTTAGGGGGAAGGCCAGCAAGAAATGCTGTTTTACACTGGGTAGCTGTGGGCTGACACCGATACCAATCCTGTGAATGGGAACGAGCATATATATATTAATATATATATATATATAATGCATAGGTGTCAAACTCAAGGCCCGTGGGCCAAATGCAGCCCGCCGAGCCGTTTTGTGTGGCCTGCAGGAGCTTAAAAAGCATTTAGTGAAGTCCATGCAGCAGAATTTCTTAACTTAAATAATTAAAAGTTTTTATAATTAATCAAATAATAATCAATTGTAGAAACATGTATTAGTCTGTTATGGAGTAGTTCCATCTATACCAGCAGTCCCCAACCTTTTTTGTTAAAAGGACTACTCAGCCAGTACCACTCGTTACTACAGACCGGTAACAAGGTACTGGGCATTTCATTTTCAAGTCTGAATGACATGTTATTTTAAAATATCGCCAGATTATCTCTAAATAAAGAAAGTAAATGGATATGACTGGACTTTCTTTGAATGAAGTAAATTAGTAAAAATCAAGTACATTTTTTCACTGTGTCCCACTGCGATTCCAAATGACCTACGGACTGGTACTGGTCCACGGACCAGGGGTTGAGGACCCCTGATCCATACAATCTTCTAGTTATAACCGGCCCCTTAAGGGGAACTGTATTGCTGATGTGGCCCCTGGTGGAAATGAGTTTGACACCCCTGATACAGTGCTTATAAAATTATAATATCACCCTCTTCAAGAGAGACTGAAATAAGTAATCAACATATTGGAAACATCTGGAAGGAGTTTCCAAGGGTAGAGCGTAATAAAATAATTGATTCACATGAGTGAAAACTAGAATCCAGACCACTGAATCGAATAATGAACAGATCAGCAGGGCTCACCACTCTGTTTAATAAAGATCAGTCTATATGTACAAGTCAAAGTGGGTAAAATCAAGGGCAAAATCAGAATGTAATGGCTACATAGTGTAATTCTTCACGCTCTGTAGAACAAACATTGGATTTGGTTGTATGATACCCATCACACCCACTGCCTGCTGTATGAGCGTGTGGCTGCAAGTCAAAACCTGTGACCAGCTCTGGCTGTGTTTAGGTTGATAGATATTACTGTGAAATTTGACAAAGTAGAAAAAAAAACCTAAAAACAGTTATTTGTTACACCTAAAGTCCCGGGAGCCAGGTAAATAGGTTTTTGCTTCTGCAGTAAAACTAAAGCAGGGAGTGGACAGTAACTGAAACTGCTTTACATGGTAATGGAATTTTTACCCCCCAGGAGATGTTGCCATAGATTGAAATCAGGTTAGTAGTTTAAGATGGATGTGGGCTCTTTTCAAAAGAAAACAAACATAAGAATTGATTGAAAGAATGGTGCTGATGTTTAGACATAGGAGACATTTTGTGGATGTGGGATTAAGTATGTGTGGCTGTGGCGGCTGTGTGTTTAAGATCTCTATTTAAGCAATATTGATTCCTGATAAAAGTGTTCTAATGCCAATGGACATATGTTATTACATGAGAAAAAATTCAGATGAGGTTAAACGATCAAAACTGACTGAAGCCTCTACCTGCACACACACATATGTATACCTACATATATACACACATATCTCCGTTTATTTAATTATTTTTATCTGCTGCATATATTGGTATCTATTTGGTACATTTTCAGCACAAAAAGAAAATTCTTTTTTTTTACATTTTGTCAGGAGGCTCTTTCACTGCTTTTGCATTTTTTTCCTGGTATCAGCCATACTCATCATTGATGCAGTGTTACCAGCCAGGGAGCTGATTTTGACTCAACAAAGATGATGCATTTTCTTCTCTTATCTGATTTCCTTTCTCTACTACCACTGTAGTTTACTGGAAAATCGTAGCATTCCAGAAAAGGAGACCTTAAATAGATTTAAGACCAAAGGGTAGAGCGTAATAAAATAATTGATTCACATGAGTGAAAACTAGAATCCAGACCACTGAATCGAATAATGAACAGATCAGCAGGGCTCACCACTCTGTTTAATAAAGATCAGTCTATATGTACAAGTCAAAGTGGGTAAAATCAAGGGCAAAATCAGAATGTAATGGCTACATAGTGTAATTCTTCACGCTCTGTAGAACAAACATTGGATTTGGTTGTATGATACCCATCACACCCACTGCCTGCTGTATGAGCGTGTGGCTGCAAGTCAAAACCTGTGACCAGCTCTGGCTGTGTTTAGGTTGATAGATATTACTGTGAAATTTGACAAAGTAGAAAAAAAAACCTAAAAACAGTTATTTGTTACACCTAAAGTCCCGGGAGCCAGGTAAATAGGTTTTTGCTTCTGCAGTAAAACTAAAGCAGGGAGTGGACAGTAACTGAAACTGCTTTACATGGTAATGGAATTTTTACCCCCCAGGAGATGTTGCCATAGATTGAAATCAGGTTAGTAGTTTAAGATGGATGTGGGCTCTTTTCAAAAGAAA